AATCCCTTTTATACCTGAAGATATCGTCGAGTCACGTGAGTAGGGCATGGAAGATAGCTGACATGGTCTACTCCCATTTGTGAGAACTCCCAATTGTGAGACTCCCAGTTGTGAGACAGTGGAGTAGGTAATTAACAAAGAAAACACACCATACTCCCCTATCTGATAGAATGGATTAACCCTAGCTAATTAGGGATTAGCTATGTAACTGAACCTTGTGAACAGAACAAAACAGATATTTTATTCTCACATATTTTTTATAATCACATTTTATGATCACATATAGTTACACAGACAACATTCAGTATATTCATACATATTAAAACATTGAACAAAGTCCAGTTTTGAGGGGGCGGTGGGGTAGCCTAATGGTTAAAGCGTTGGCTCGTCACGCCGAAGACCCGGGTTCGAATCCCCACATGGGCACAATGTGTGAAGCCCATTCCTGGTGTCCCCCGCCGTGATGTTGCTGGAATATTGCTAAAAGCGGCGTAAAACCAAACTCAGTCAGTCAGTCAGTCCAGTTTTGATACATTTGGCATCTTTAGATTCTATTACATCTTTTGATGCCGTACCAACGTCATGTTTCAATGGGCAACCTGTGGTTTGAAGTTCTAAATTGTGGTTTGCCGTAAATCATAAAATCTGATTGCTTTACATTCTTCAAACTGGCTACAGATCATTCTTGCGCTCCTCTGGAAGTAACTTAATGAAACTTTAAAAGATAAATTAATTAACCCACTCAAGTAAATGTCTCTAAAAGATAAACACTTTGTGTAGGAAATGTGATCATTTGAAAGAGAAACAAATATACCTACTCAGATTTACGTGTTTAAATAATGTAACAATAACTGTTTTTAACTTAATAACTTAATTATAATTAATATAAATCTATTTATTAACCTTTGTCTGCTCTTTTCGATCAGCAAGTACCGATGTCGACCTACCTGCTTCATATCTTTTATAATCTATTTCATTGTTTCTGTATCTATCGATGTTTTTTATAGAAAACAATAAATGCTCTTTAACCTTTAACGAACAATGTCTTCTGTGTTAATTAACTCATTAATGAACCATGTCTCCTGTGGGTACTATTCAACAACAGGGTTGTTCCCACTTTCATAGTAGGGATGTGGAAACACTACCCAGGTGCACTCGACCATTAATTAATGTGTCTCAGGGGCGGTGGGGTAGCCTAATGGTTAAAGCTTTGGCTCGTCACGCCGAAGACCCGGGTTCGAATCCCCACATGGGCACAATGTGTGAAGCCCATTCCTGGTGTCCCCCGCCGTGATGTTGCTAGAATATTGCTAAAAGCGGCGTAAAACCAAAGTCAGTCAGTCAGTCAGTAATGTGTCTCACAACTGGGAGTTCTCACAAATGGGAGGACACCGCTGACATAGCGTGTCCTATCACAAGGAGGAAATTATCTCTCAGTAGTCATTTATTGTACCAGCCTGCACTCTCCCTTACTTAAAGCGGTCAGATTAGAGTAGTATTGGATAATCGTAATAGCGTACCTTTCTACTGCCAGATCAGTCAAACCCGACCAACTGATAAGGGGTAGCTAATTACCGTCTGATCAAGGTTATTCCTGTACAGTTTCTATTGGGTACGACACTACAATGAGACCAGGGTAGTCCTGTACAACTGTTATAGGGTACGACACTACAGTCAGATCAGGGTAGTCCTGTACAACTGTTATAGGGTACGACACTACAGTCAGATCAGGGTAGTCCTGTACAACTGTTATAGGGTACGACACTACAGTCAGATCAGGGTAGTCCTGTACAACTGTTATGAGATATCCTCACTACGGTCTGATCAGGGTAGTCCTGTACAACTGTTATAGGGTACGTAACTACAGTCAGATCAGGGTAGTCCTGTACAACTGTTATGAGATATCCTCACTACGGTCTGATCAGGGTAGTCCAGCACCAGCCTGCACTCTCCCTTACTTAAAGCGGTCAGATTAGAGTAGTATTGGATAATCGTAATAGCGTACCTTTCTACTGCCAGATCAGTCAAACCCGACCAACTGATAAGGGGTAGCTAATTACCGTCTGATCAAGGTTATTCCTGTACAGTTTCTATTGGGTACGACACTACAATGAGACCAGGGTAGTCCTGTACAACTGTTATAGGGTACGACACTACAGTCAGATCAGGGTAGTCCTGTACAACTGTTACAGGGTACGACACTACAGTCAGATCAGGGTAGTCCTGTACAACTGTTATAGGGTACGACACTACAGTCAGATCAGGGTAGTCCTGTACAACTGTTATGAGATATCCTCACTACGGTCTGATCAGGGTAGTCCTGTACAACTGTTATAGGGTACGACACTACAGTCAGATCAGGGTAGTCCTGTACAACTGTTATGAGATATCCTCACTACGGTCTGATCAGGGTAGTCCTGACAACTGTTACGACACTACAGTCAGATCAGGGTAGTCCTGTACAACTGTTATGAGATATCCTCACTACGGTCTGATCAGGGGTCCAGCACCAGCCTGCACTCTCCCTTACTTAAAGCGGTCAGATTAGGTAGTATTGGATAATCGTAATAGCTGTACCTTTCTACTGCCAGATCAGTTGATAAGGGGTAGCTAATTACCGATCAAGGTTATTCCTGTACTATTGTCAGACGACACTACAGGGTAGTCCTGTCCTGTACAAAGCTGTTAACTGTTAAGGGTACGTTATCAGGGTAGTCCTCAACTTATAGGGTACGACACTACAGTCAGATCAGGCTAGTCCTGTACAACTGTTATGAGATATCCTCACTACAGTCTGATCAGGGTAGTCCTGTACAACTGTTATGAGATATCCTCACTAAGTCAGATCAGGGTAGTCCTGTACAACTGTTATGAAATATCCTCACTACAGTCAGATCAGGGTAGTCCTGTACAACTGTTCTGAGATAACCTTACTACAGTCAGATCAGGGTAGTCCTGTACAACTGTTATAATATAACCTCTACTCAGATCAGGCTAGTCCTCAGTTATGAGATAACCTCAGGTCAGATTAGGCTAGTCCTGTATAGCTGATATGAGATATCCTCACTACGGTCTGATCAGGGTAGTCCTGTACAACTGTTATGAGATATCCTCACTACGCTCTGATCAGGGTAGTCCTGTACAACTGTTATAGGGTACGACACTACAGTCAGACCAGGGTAGTCCTGTACAACTGTTATGAGATATCCTCACTACGCTCTGATCAGGGTAGTCCTGTACAACTGTTATGAGATAACCTTACTACGGGGAGATCAGGGTAGTCCTGTACAACTGTTATGAGATAACCTCACTACGGTCAGATCAGGCTAGTCCTGTATAGCTGATATGAGATAACCTCACTACGGTCTGACCACCCGATCCCGTTAGTCGCCTCTTACGACAAGCATGGGTTTTCCCAATTCTAATCTTCATGGGTCTGCTCTGTTGGCACATAAATATTCAGATGGAATATAAAGTGACACTGTTGTAAAATATTCCATGCGACTCTCAGTATTTAGGCTGTTGATTAATGCATGTCGTTACTTAAAGTGAACGAACAACACGAAGGTATTTCAAAAGTTGATATTAATTCTATGCGTTGCTCTTCAACCCAAAGCAACTGTGAATACCAATGCTGGATATGTTGAGTGTAAACTTGAAACACACTCACATGGCTGAATTTTGTAATATTTATGGTCATACTAGTGGGGTCGCTATTCTCATAACATATTTGTGAAAAATCCAAAAATTCATTTTAAAACCTTGCCATCTGTTCGGTCCCATAGTTGCTGCTCGCTTACACCCGAGAAGGTAGGTCGTTTTTGTACATTTAATTCACATAGCTGGCAACAAGTCATCTGCAGCGTCACAATTTGTCGCGGAAAGTTGCTGTCCCTTAGCCGCTCTACAATAAGATATTCCCGCGAGACCTGGATTTGTAAGAGGGAGCGGTGGGGTAGCCCAGTGGTTAAAGCGTTTGCTCGTCACGCCCAAGACCCGGGTTCTATTCCCCACATGGGTACATTTTGTGAAGCTAATTTCTGGTGTCCCCCGCCGTGATATTGCTGGAATATTGCTTAAACCGGCGTAACACCCAACTCAGTCACTAGATTGGTTAGCGCCATCCCCATGCTCACAGGCGTCACAAAGGTTGTATACTTGCATCACTTTGGGCCTTCTCCACCCTTTAGTCTGACACGCAGGGAAATATTGTTCGAAGAGGTGTTGAACTGAACTTAATCACTAGTGTAAACGTCTTATGACGATATGCTTGGTTGGTTTCTTGTTTAACACCGCACTCGGCAATATTCCAGCTGTATGGCCGCGGTCTGTAAAGAGACAATCCAGTGATCAATATCACGACCACTCAATCTAAGCAGTTGGGATACGATGACACGTTTCAAACAAGTCAGCGAGCCTGACCACCCGATCCCGTTTGTCGCCTCTTACGACAAGCTTAAGTTGTAGTTCTTCTTTTTTTTCAAAGAAATGTATGAGATTACATTTTAAGCAAAATATCGAAAGTGTTTACTTGCATCATAGCTCATGAAGTTTATTGCAAGATCCTGCCTTTACAAATTCATCTTGATACTTGGATTGTCTGGACCATGCTCGACTATTTTCAGACCGCCGCCTTTTTGCTGGTCAATATTTTTGCTGAGTGTGGCGTTAGACAACAAACCAACCAACAGTTTTTGGCAGTTTTAGAATTTGTCTCGGCGTCTGGAAAATACGATGTATTTTAGATAAGCTCTCAAATGACTTAGACAAATTCAGTTCTATCATTTTAAATTAATTTAACGTTCTATCATGTTGCCCTGCTGCAGTGTATACTGAAAGTTTTAATCGCTAACATGACGCAGAGATTATTCTTATGTCTTTATGGATTTCCCCATTATTAAGTAATTTATAGAAATACGAGTAGTACGCTGAATGTTAAACTACTACTGACCGAAAAACCTGAAGCCATCAAAATAACTGGTAACAAGGTAACAAGTAAATGACAGAGCGGAGTATTTATTATTCTAAAATCACTTGGAGACAAATCCGTTATCGATCTTAATGAAAATCATCATGTGACGCCATTGGCAGTGTTACAAAGGGAGATCACTCTATCGCGGAACGTATCCATCTGGGTAGTTGATCTGAAATCCATCTGGGTTGTTGATCTGAAATCCATAAGGACACTGTGGCACTTTACAACATTTGCCTTGGGGAGCGTCCAGCAGCTGACACTGAGGGGGCAGGTTCAACGGAAGACATCTGTGGAATCGGTTAACGCGTCAGTATAAGAATAGGGTAATATGAAAGATGACCCTGACAATTTAACAAAGAACTATATGATTTCGTTGTGATAATGCCGAACCAATTTTAGCCAATTATATTTATTCCTGATTACAAATGATGCAACACCTGATTGAACTATTGATGTATGGCTTATTGGTCACAGTCTGATGTCAATGGATCGATAACAAGTTAACAATTCAATTGTTTACATTGATGTCCGGTTTCAACTCTCTATGGAGTCTAAATACATAAAACAAATATACGTAATTAACATCTCCACTAGATCAGTTGGCTTAATGAGATATGTGGGTCAAGGTGCCGATCCACAAAGCGTTCGTGGCGCTACGACATTCAAAAGCCAAAGGTAAACTGGAGAGATCGCTTTGTGGATCGGGATCTTAATCTTTCACTCGGTATTGATCATACACATAAACACATGACACACGATGTACACTTACACAGTATTGCATTGGTATTCCCCAATCGAAGCGTCGATACACTTGCATGTGTAGTCACACCCGTCCAACCACTGCTCGCCCTGCTGGTAGATGACTGTCTTGTAGTAGCACCCTGGGTGGGACAAATCAAATTGATCAGTATTAGTAAGGTATATACACTAAACGCCAAACCTCCTTCCGATGTGACGGAGGTACCTATCTTCAGCTATCGTTGTGATGCGTGGACGTCCACTTCTTGGTCTGTCTACGGTGACCCCTGTCTGTCTGTAGCGCTGAATAAGTCTTATAACCGTGATACGTTGGCATCAGAGGGCGTTGGCAACAGCATTGTATGTCCACCCCATCTGCATCATCCCGATGGCTTTCTCTCTCTTCAGCTGTTAATCGTGGCATATTTCTCGTACTTGTGTATCATATCATGCATTCTATTCTCTCTTTGTACCATATAGAATTCTCGAAGTCGCTCTAGACTTGTTTTCGTAAATCCGTGTTCAACCAAATGTAAGGTTCCATCCACGGGCTTTGATGAAATCTGAGCACGTGATGTACTTTTTTCAGCTTCATTCCCAACGACAGGTACAGCTGCAGGTTGCAGTAGTGGAGGACGTATTTTGACTTGTTCAACAAATTTGGCACGAGTGTTTCGATGTTGGTCAGCTTGTTGCCTCCGAGCAAGCTTCGTTGGTAGTCGGACAACCACTCCAGGTTCACCGTCAATCGTTCGGGAGCCAGCGGATAGCTGTTGTGCGATTCATGCAGTTCCGCGTGGTACTCCAAGTCCACTTCGTATATGTATCCTATCTCGGAGTCTTCGGGGATGCTATTCACGTTGATGTCGGACCGGCAGACGACCCATTCGAATTTCCCGGTGGGGAGATATTGGCTCATGGCCCAGCCGTACAGGTTATTGGCGTCGAGATAGAGGATGTGGTTGGTCGGTTTGCTCGAATTGTGACCGGGAACGTACTGGTTGTTGGCTTTGGCGTATCGCTTGGATGCCATGGAAGCCTTGCAAGCCTTTCTCCACGAACAGGTGCATGTCGTAATCCGTTAACAATTCCAATTCAATCTTCGTCTTTTTCAACAAGGCGTCCCAAGAGAGGCCAGGGGATGAGAAGTACCACGTGGGGTCCAGGCCGTACTGTTTCGCGCACGTTTTCCTGAATATCTCGAACACGTCGGCCAGCAGCAACACGTCCGTTTTCAGGTACAGGTCGTGGTAGTCGCCCAGAGTCTTGCAGTCCAGTTTGTCCCACACGTTGAGGGCGTGCGCGTAATCGTCCGGGGGGATGGCCGAGTCGGTCAAGTTGCTGTGAAATCGGTCGATAGAAGGTAATCGCGTCTCGTCGAACCTGGACAAATCGTCCATGTATTCGTAGGGGTAAGGAGAACTGTCCAAGGAGAACGAGATGTATTTTTCCATGTTGTTTGGGATGCACGTCAGGTTGCCATCGACCTTCGAGATGCCGTGCAGGCACCGTTCGCAGAAGTGTTTTTTCCCGGCGTGTTTCGATTGATCGTGCAACAGTCTGCTGAAGCTTTTTATCCACACGTAGTGATGCTTGTCGTCGTCTCGCTGAATCATGAATAGATTGATCGTCTTGCGTCCTTCGTCATCGAGGAGGGAGCTGATCCTGTGCACGATCGTTGTGTTCCCTTCGTGTCCGAAGACCTTGATGGCTATGTGTATTCTGTTTTTCGATTTTGATGATCTGGGAGATGGGAGTGGGTTCATCTATGCCACCCCAGTCGAGCCCGTCGTCTTCGGGATAGCTGGAAAGTCTGTCCGAATGTGCGTTGGCTGGAAACAGCGCGGATCTGATCGCTACCCTCATGCAATCGTCGCCTTTGTTTTTGACGTTGACCATGGCTCGCTTTTTCTTGTAGTATGGTGACAGGTCCAGGTACGTTCCGCTTTTGAACGTTGAATTTATACAGCAATACGGTGATGACGGTGGTGATGCATGCTGCCGTCGTTATGGTGTAATAAATCCATTGACGAGTTTTTTTCTGCTTTTAAGCTAACTGACCTTTGCGACCTGCAGCTACTTTTTTGGGATCCTTTTTTCTTCTGGTTATGGTATCAATCACTTGTTCCGTTGTCTGCTGTCTTTGCTCGGGGACAGCAGCATCCTTCTTTTCCTCCTCCTCTTGTACACTGTTATCATTATTTTCTTCTTTATATTGACAATGCTTTGCCGTGATGATCGCCGCGGTCAACGGAGCTAAAAACATGCCGTACCTGTGGTACAGCATGCGGCGCTCAAAGCGTGTTCGATGAACGGATCTTTCTCGAGATCTTCCCACAGGTAAAGTCGACATTCTGACGGAATGGGAAGGATCGCCCCAGCGTATCTGCGTTTGGAATATTGTTTGCGTCATTTCGGCGCCGTATCTGGCTTCGTATCTCGAGTACAGCTTGTCGAGCCTTCACCAGTGAAGTTTCTCGCTTGTCGTTTTCATTATTGTCGTCATCCAACATGGGTTTGAGAAGTTCGTCGCGACTCCATCCATTATAATGTGACAAGCAATGTTTAAGTCTAATAAAATGAAATCCGATGTACGCGCCACACATCGAGATGAAAGTCAAGTTGCACACGACGAACGTTTCGAACATCATTTTTGCTGAAGCTTGCTGTGGAATTTTGCTATGATTTTTGCTGAAGCTATGAATTTGCTAGAATTTTGCTAGAATTTTGCTGAGAATTATGCTGCTGTGCTTGAATTTGCTAGAATTTTGCTAGAACTTTGCTGAAGCTATGCTTGAATTTACTAAATTTTGAATTTTGCTAGAATTTTGCTGAAGAAGTTTGCTGAAGTTATGCTTGAATTTTGCTGCTAGAAGTGTTTTGCTAGAATTTTGCGAAAATTTGCTGAAGTTATGCTTGAATTTTGCTTCAAGAAGTTAATGCTTGAAGCTTTGCTAGAAGTTTGCTAGAAGCTAGCAGACTTTGTACTCTATGGGTTGGTCGGTTTTCAGCAGGAGTTTGGCGTGTTTCGTTTCGGCGAGCTGTTTCTTCAGTCGTTCTCGTTCTTGTTTGGTCGGGATCACGTCGTTTTCTCGCAAGCAGTCCTCGAACGAATCCCTGTCCTTGCAGTGAAACAGGGCGACCCATCGCGTCTGTTCCCGTAAATCTTTCAGCACCGAGTTGAATTTCTGAGTCAGCACCCAAACGCTGTGTTTCGTGTGTCGGCCCGAGAAGGCCAGATACGACAGCGCGTCTCGTTTTTTAACCATCTCCTTGTTGGCGCTGCAGTCGTCCAGGATGAACAGCGTTGATTCTCCTTTCAACTTGTTGTGATAAACGCTCAACCAGTCCTGCAGACGAGTTCCAGGATCGATTTTGTGCACGTCCGGGTCCGTCATCACCCACGCTCTCTCCGTGTACGTCTTGTTCACCCGTAATGTCGATGACGATGTGGTCGAACACGTCGCAATATTATCCTTCCAACATGTCCAGCACGAATGCCGTCTTGCCGCCCCCCGTCTGACAGCACACGATGGCGCAGTGGGGATCGCGAGGTAAATCAATAAATGGCTTGCACGAATCTTCCATTGTCTATATTTAGTTGCGCGTCCATAATCACGTACAAATATAATTTTAATTTACCGCCCAGACTTTGAGCTTTCTTGGTGATTTGGATGGTGATCCCCTCGCTGTCGTTGTCGATGCGACGTCCGCTGTCGTGAAGTCTGTCATCATCCGTGGATCGCATGTCCAGCCACAGTGCGTAATGTTTATCCAGGTATTTATGGACCGTCACGTAGGGCAAACCCAGATCTTTGATGACGTCGTTGACTTCAGACGAGTGTCACTTGATGGTCGATAGTTTTTTTATCTCGTCCCACTGCTGGTAAGCTCGCATGCCTTGACTGAACAGCTGGTGGGGCACGCCCTCGACGGTCACTTCCACTTTCGTGATCTCGGGATTCCAAGTAAGTTCGCTGCCTCTTCGAAACGGCTCGTATTCAGCCATGGGAATGATCAAGATGCCTTTCATCGATCTAGCCGGCACGTTCAGGTTGATGTTCCACAACACGTACGCCTTGGTGGCGGCTTTTTCTCCTTTTGTTATATTGTCGAGCTGATCTGACGTAAAAATTTCCCCACACGTAGATCGTTCGATACGCCATGTCATTCCGCTCGTTCGAGGTTCTCCAGAGGTCCGCGTAACAGTAAAACACATCACTGTCGTCGATGCTCAGCACCTCGTTCCCGCTGATTTTCATGGTGGTTTTCTTGACGATGGCGCGACCCAGATTGTTTACGATCATGTGTTTGTCGTTCGTGGACTCCAACGTGATGTGAAAAGCCAGTCGAGTCGTGCCGGGGACGATGACATCATTTGCGCCTAGGTTGGGGAATCGAACCAGCAGCATTTGGTTTTGATCAATCGTGCTCGGATTGTTGGTGATGGTCACCGACTGACGCACGGTTTTGACACCGAGCGGCTCTCTCGATTTTCGGAAAGGATCTAACTTTCGTCCGTAATGCGACATTGTTTCTATTGAAACTATGTATATTTTTAGTTTAATATAAAATTAAAAATAATGGCGGACGATATTCCCATGGTTGATTTAGACGTACACCAGCTGAACGACGACGATGATGTAGCAGACACCATTGGCAACGAGCTTTTAAAGCAGGCCGTGGACGAATATTACAATGCTTTTAAACGCGATAAAAAATACGTCAAACCATTGGGCCGCGACTATCCGAAGTTCAAAATCGACAACGAAGGGACGCTGCGATTGAAAGCTCATCCGGAGGTCAATCTCATGAACAAACACACGAGAAAACCGCTCGCCCTGTCAATGCTAGGCAGTCGCCGTGGTGGTAGTCAACTGATACGAGACGAACTAAACCTGCGAGATTATGGCGGCGCACGACCCAAAACAAAACTTCCACCAAAAGGTCGTTCGAGATCTGCAAAATGTAAGGACCGAACTCGGTGGTGGTGGTGGTGCATAAGTGCCCCAGCACGCCAAAGAGGCGTCGGCCGAAATCGAAAAAATATTGGTCACGTACTGGAACGAACCCTTGCCCAGTTTTGAATTTCCTTTTAGGGAACTTCGGGGTCTAGACAAAGCCTTGAAAAAAGTGCGCGGAGAACTCATGAACAACATGGGTAAACTGAACGAAATCAACGAGCACATCGCTCACGATAAAACCAAACTCGAACAAGCGGAAGACGAGACCAGCAGACGTCGCATCAAGAAAAGGTTGAGCGACCTGGAAGGCGAGAGACGGACCCGATTGGAAGCCGCTTCCTCCAACCGGGAAGCCCTCCGATCGCAAATCAGCCGCGTGCTCGAAACCATCAACCGAGTCTTGAACAAGGACACCACTTTGGCCGACAGGATCCGAATTCTGTTCCAAGAACAAGGGATCACCATCGCCAGCATTCTCACAGCTTTGGGCTTCATCCTATCGACCCTGATTGTATCGCTGACGGGCGGCACCGGCGGCGGAGGCACACCACCACCAGCACACAAAGAAGGTGGCGATGTCAGAGACTGGATAAAAAAACAGTTGAACTCGCTTGGCGAAGCCCTGGCGAAACTGGCCGGCAAAGCCGCCGAAGCGCTGCCTGGTATCTTGGGCAGCATCGTGTCCTGATTGCTGGGCTTCTTGTCGAAAACCGTCACATGGTTCGGTCAAAACCTGTTGGCCTTAATCGTCACTGTGGCGGGTCTGGTGTACGTCGCGGGCTAAGGAATTTTAACCAAATGAGACACAGTCCGACCGCGATCCTGCCGACCACCAGAGCCGTTTTGCAGTCGATGTTTCGCTGATTGTTTGCCTGCACGTGTGGAGGCAGCAGCTGCTGCTGCTGCTGCTGTTGTGGTGGTGGTTCTTCTTCCGGTGCCGGTGCCACGATTCCCGTTTCGTAGTGCGGCACGACTCGACTCGCGTTTTTGACTTCCGGGTTCAAGCCCAGCGGTCGCCATGACGATTTCGTTATTGTAACCCACCACTCGGTTCATCCTCAGTCGCATGTTGCTCGGAGCCATGTACAGTTCCACGCCGAACACGTAGTCGACTTTCAACCGGGCGTATTCCAGCGCGTTTTCATAGCGTACGATGGCACTCGGCAGATCGACCGGTCTGGCGATGGCATCCTTGATGTTGACCACGAACTGTTTCTGCGTGTCGTAAGCCGTCCCTTCATCAACCACGATAATGTAGGATACCTGAGTGATACAATGACCGAAGCTTCGGGTCCGGGAACAACCATGCGACTGAGAAAATGTCATACCATCACGCTCTCTGACCTCGGAGACACGCGCGGATTCGATGAGCCCGGAATCGAGATCAAACTGTATGCATTGCAAGGGAAAAACAACATTTACAAACGCGTTGAAGTGCCCGCCTCCAAAGGCAGCAGCAGATCCAGCAACCGCATCAGCACCCTAAGCGATTTCGTCAACACCGAAGGAGCGGTCAACAACGAGCGGTATGACCTCGTCCGCAACGAAGAAGACGAGTGGACGATATCCAGGGCCTTCGACGGCAAGCTGTTCGATCTGAACGATGTCGAGACCACGGTCGCTCGAAACGCGCCTTACACTTTCATGTTCACCGACGACAACAAATGGGTCCTCGTGCCGTACTCGAATTGACTGGATCATCGACATCACGCTCGGCTCTCCCCTCGTTTTTACGGAAAGCAAAATCCACTACCTAACGAAAGTCCTGAACGAGGGAATAATGCTCTTGGCTTACGTCCTGACGCCAAGACGCAGCGTGATTCTCAGCCCGCTCTCGCAAAATAAATTAGCACACGCGCTATCGGGGAAACCCGGGACGCAAAGCGCAAGTTTGCAGATGGTGACGGAATTTGACGAATTGATCGACATCATGGAAAATCTACCGGTCAATTCCACGCTGATCATCCAAGTCTTCCTCGGCGAACCACCATCTGGTTCAAAAGTCAAAAAGCATGACTCAAACTCATGCTGTTTGGTAGGCTATGTCGCGCAGATACTGGAAGCACCCACAAAAGAGTACTCCTGTATAGAATAGGACAGTTTATTACTGATAACACGTGTGATGTATAGTTAACCCATGATCTTCTGAAATTGTTCAAAATTACGATCTCTGGTCGCATGTGAGTGAATTTATGAAAACTGGTAATTTTCCGTGCAAACTGGAATGGAGTAGAACTATTAATAGAAAGGTAGCCGACGCAGAATATTATAACTGGCAAATGACACTCACTCAGACACCAGAAATGAGCCGTTTTGCCAACATTCACGGTGCTCTAGCCCCACATAGACTGTGGGGAATGTGTGAACTGTACCCAATCTCAACCAGACCTGTGTACAGTCTAGTTAAACTTGGTGTATTACCTGTTGTAGGTGGGATGTGCCTACTCTGTGACACCGAGTGTGATGATATGGTGAAACACCAACTGTTATACTGCTGCAGTTTATTCTCTAAGCGTAATGCACTTAGTGAACGTTTGTTTGACAATATGACCATTGAAAGCTATATACAATTCGAGGATTGTGATGATAATGAACTCAATATTACCACCCTTCTAGGTGGAATCACACCACTCATTGAAAACATGTCACTGAATATGTGGGCTGTATTTATTGACATTACAGCAAAAAGCATCAGCTCCTGGAACCTCAAAGACCTGCTGTATCTGTGAAGCTGCGATTATGTCAGAGACTATGCCGGAGACTATGGTTGAATATGTAAATATGTTTAATATTACATCCTAAGATGTTTTCATATATGTACTCTCCGTCTTAATGGAGGAAATAAAGCACATTCATTCATTCATTCATTCATTCAATACTGCTTGAATATTGCTACGTTTTGGCGATTGATATTGCTATGTGTAAACAGAAAATGGAAAAATGTTACTTTGCAAGCAAAAATGTTAACAAAGATAATTTTAGATGTTCCTAAACACTTTTTCACAATTTCAAAGACACGTTTTACTTGTTTTCACTAATGCAAATCAGCAGAAAATGTTTTAAAAGACAGATAGCATAGGAAGGATTCTTTTACAAGTTTACACACTCTACAACAGTTGTTTCTTGTTTTAGTAGTTGCAAAATGGTGACTTTAAATGGTTTATCGTTGTCTCAAAGCAGAGTTTATTTTCAACCTTTCTTTTGGACATCTAAATCACTGTCATTGGTTTATTTTCGGTCGAAATTAGGACAATTTTATTCTTCTGAAAATGATGTATTTCACCTAAATATATGAATGCATTTGAGGAATAGTTTTCATGATTTGCATAAAGCTGTGTTGTTCAGCTTTCTTGTAAAGTGACACATTCTAACATATCTTTGACAGTTTTTCAGTAATTCATAAAGGTAGGGAGGGTAACGTTTCTTTGTATATATCTTGTGTGTATATAAAATGTCAGTGGAACAGAACACTCAGTCTTGACTATCCTCAGAAACACACCGTTTTATTTAAATGAAAAATAGATGTGAAAATTATATAAATGAAAATATATTAGGACAATAGGTGTTCCCGAAAAGGATAAACATGTCCTGCCCTCCCGGTATTAATTTCTTACTAAGGGCCTAAACAATTTAATCTACACATAGTGCACGCGTCACTAGTGCCCCGTGTTTTCATACCAGTGAACGTACTTTATCACGTACCTAATGCAAGATTGGCTGGTTTGTTGGTAGCAATATTGGCGGCGGTCTGTATTTAATCGAGTCTGGACAAGACGATCCAGTGATCAACAGCATGAGCATCGTTCTACGCAATTGGGATACGATGCTATGTGTCAACCAAGTCAGCGAGCCTAACCACCCCGATCCCGTTAGTCGCCTCTTACGACAAGCATGGGTTACTGAAGATCAATATTCTAACCCGGATCCTCACTGGTTCGTTTGCGTTTACACCGAATTCTCAAGGTTCAGAACAACGGGGGGCGGTGGGGTAGCCTAATGGTTAAAGCGTTGGCTCGTCACGCCGAAGACCCGGGTTCGAATCCCCACATGGGCACAATGTGTGAAGCCCATTTCTGGTGTCCCCCCGCCGTGATGTTGCTGGAATATTGCTAAAAGTGGCGTAAAACCAAACTCAGTCAGTCAGTCAGTCAGAACAACGGTAAAATACATCAGCTTTCGAACTATATATATGTATTTTTTGTCTCATTTTCAGCCACAATATAAAATAGGTGTATACTGATTGTATTTTTGTACAGAACTCCCATAACTAATTCTAAACGTTAATCAGAGTGGGCTAGTTTAGTTCAGCAATATTCTAGCAATAACACGGCGGGGGGACACCATAAATGGGCTTCACACATTGAACCCATGAGGGGAATCGAACACAAGTCTTCGGCTTGACGAGCGAACGCTTTAACCACTAGTCTACCCCAGCGCCCCAGTTAATCAGAAAAAGACACCCACCCGTTGTCTGCCTTACGACATTGACGCTGGCAGCGTAGGTGACGGTTGCAACAGCAACAAGAATCAGCGCTATCTTTCCAACCATCTCGCTTGACCAAGACCTCCGGATTGACTTGTCGTCACTTACGCCGTCTTTTATACCGACAGGATGAACTACTGTATTATCTAGGTATGCATGCAGTGACAGAAAACAGACCTTATCTTGCTGACATAATTGTTTTATGAATATATATATGCAACTGATAAACATGGCCAACACTTACATAATAGCACGAAAATATGCTAGATCAGGGTAGTTCTGTCCAACTGTTCTGAATTAACCTCACTACGGTCAGATCAGGGTAGTCCTGTACAACTTTTATGAGATAACCTCACTACAGTCAGATCAGGGTAGTCCTGTACAACTGTTCTGAGATAACCTCACTACAGTCAGATCAGGGTAGTCCTGTACAACTGTTCTGAGATAACCTCACTACAGTCAGATCAGGGTAGTCCTGTACAACTGTTCTGAGATAACCTCACTACAGTCAGATCAGGGTAGTCCTGTACAACTGTTCTGAGATAACCTCACTAGAGTCAGATCAGGGTACTCCTGTACAACTGTTCTGAGATAACCTTACTACAGTCAGATCAGGGTACTCCTGTACAACTGTTCTGAGTTAAGCTTACTACAGTCAGATTGGGCTAGTCCTGTACAACTGTTATGAGTTAACCTCACTAGAGTCAGATCAGGACAGTGATGACCAGCTGTTATGAGATATGCTCCCCACGGTCAGATCAGGGTACTCCTGTATAACTGTTGTAAGATAACCTCACTATGGTCAGATCAGGACAGTAATGACCAGCTGTTAAGAGATATGCTCACCACGGTCAGATCAGGGTACTCCTGTATGGTGATCTACCTTCAATTTTGGCGATCTATAGCCCGTGTTTTATATTGTATTGTCTTCTTTGCTTAAAATCTTTTAGTTTTACATGCTAGTTTTATGTTCATATTTGTGATACTCTAGTATTGTTACTGTCCATCGTCGACAGGTTTTACTCACCAAAATGTTTTCATCTTTATTGTATAAAATCTTTTCGTCACGATATGGCTGAGACATTGCCGATGTGACGTTATTAACTCACTCACTCACTTATGAGATAACCCCATTGTGCTACATCAAGCTAGTCCTGTACAAGTGTTAAGGGATACACTCATTACAGTCAGACCAGGCTAGTCCTGTACAACTGTAACAAGATAATCTCACTACGGCCAGATCAGGCTAGCCCTGTGCAACTGTTATAGGGTACCTTACTACGGCTAGATCAGGCTAGCCCTGTGCAACTGTTATAGCGTACCTTACTACGGCCAGATCAGGCTAGCCCTGTGCAACTGTTATAGGGTACCTTACTACGGCTAGATCAGGCTAGCCCTGTGCAACTGTTATAGGGTACCTTACTACGGCCAGATCAGGATTGTCCTGTACAGATGTTATGGGTTACATCACTACAGTCAGACCAGGGTGGTCTAGTACAACTGTTGTGGGGTTCTCACTAGGAAACAAACATCGTTTGCAAAAGCAGGAGTTACAAGCATGTCCTTATGTTTAATCATGCCAGTGTACAATAGAAACCCTTAATGGGTTCACCCGGTCGTTGTTATAATATACCACGCGATAAGAGGACATGCCCTCTTTGTAATTCGTCTGTTATTGCTGACGAATTTCATTACCTCTTCCGATGTTCAGCCTTTACAGTACCTAGATCAAAGTTCATCAGTGCACACTATTATAATGTTCCTAACCTGTATAAACTTAAAAACCTACTTTGCTCAAATCATGTGTCCGTATTAAAGAAACTGTCTAAATTTATTGCAATATTAAACTGTACTCTAAGACCAATATGTCGTTAACTGTCATGTCGAGCATGTTACTTGCAATACTGATTTTGCTCTTGTACCACCGTTGGTGTTTTTTTTAGAATAAAAACTTGTTAAAACTGACATGTACTATATGGATCAAGGACAACCTTTTAAGCGCTGCATTGCCCTGTGTTGCTTGTGTAGGTGTGAGATAAAGGTAATCTCGAGGCCGACACGCCTTCCCTGCACCTGGTATATCTCACGTGCAGTGATTAACTAGACATCTTACGAAACGTAAACCAACTGATAACTGGAACTGATAAAAACATAAAGTGTAAAGTACTATTACTAATGTAGAGCAGTGTTGTATTTAGTAACGGCAAGTTACAAAATTTATTCAAGTACGCATGTAGATTTCCAAGAGGAAGGTAAAGATCACAGGGTGGAATGGCTCTGTGGCGGGTACGTAATTGTGGTCATGTGTGTGGAAACACCAATGAGGTGGGGTACTGGGGGTAGGTAGCCGAGAGCCGGGATGGGATGCTACTGTATTGTACTGTACTACACTTTACTGTAGGACCCCATCGCGGCTCGCGGCTTGGTACTGTACTATATGGCATTGCAATACCTTCACCCCCTTTCTAACAACTTCCTAATTATTCTATTTCTGAAACACCATGCTGCAGATCTATCAAATACTAACCCTTTGGCATACAATGCGATAAAAAAATTACATTTACTTAAACTTTGGTCTCAGTACCAATTTAAAAGAATGATTTCAAATCAAATGATGACATATAGATACAGAGGATTAAATTAAGATGAAAAATATACATTATAGACATTGTGCCAGAATCAAAGGAAGAACTAAGAGTAATTATATGTTTCTAGGCTCAGGAAGGTGATGAAAGCTAGAGGGAATAAATACATAAATAGATAAATAAATAACAAAATTCGCCACCGATTTCTACATTTTTACATAATGAATATTTCAAGATTTAATACCCATTATTTACGGTAACATGGATAAGCTAATTGCGCATTGCCGGGAGAGCCACATTCATACGATCACTCCACCATGCCTATTGTCGGTTGAGCCACACCATTTTCAACTCTGTTTTTTTTCTTAAATGTGGCTTTCTTGGGCTATAACCCCGCGCGCGACTTCGTGGGTCCGCTCATTACATACATCACCTTAGCGCATGGCCAAAGTGTTTCAGACAATCAGATGGCTAGTTTTCGCCAACACCAAATCCCATGGTGTGACTTGGATCATGGCAAACCACGTGATTGGCATTGGGTGAAAACTAGCCATCTGATTGGCCGTAGTTTGTTTACACTGAGGAGTTACCACGTGTTTTACACGTGGTTAAAGAAACCCACAAGCCATGCTACAAATTAACACGTTTTATTTCAGTACTTTTACAGTGACAGCTGGATTTTCTGCCCATCGTTTTCAATAACAATGACTTTTACAGAACTAGTAACTTTGATCCTAAGAATTTTGTCACTTTTGTGACCTGGTGCCGTATGTCTCAAGACAGTGGATTGAGCACCCTACGTTCACCCCAAAGTCCTGGTCAGTGTTCAATCTGACAGTTCGGACAAACAACCATGTTGAGGGTGGGTTTCTTTCAGTATATCAATATATATATCCTATATACAAGATAACTAAAATGTATGAAAGAGAAATAAAGATCTATGTAATGCCCCCAACGTATTAAACATTTGATTGGATTCAATATTTGATGGATAGTATTATGGTATTGTTAATTGTTTTTGTATTGTTTATAGGCTGGCACAGACGAATCAACAGTAAAGTTGGCGACCAGCACCTTGGCATATACAGACCTATCGCTGGGTCAACTTTTGACCAGATGTAGCCAAGTCCATGGACCCATCAGCCGCTGACTTTATATCTAAGAACTGTTCCCTTGTTGGTATCATGCTAGAATCATTGGAAGTTTATTGTCTGTGTCGTTATTCTATTTAATACCCATTATGTAACTTCAGATTACACTAAAATTGAAAACAAATACATGGTCAAGCACGTTGATGGTGCTGCTGTGTGTGCCGCAAGTAGTGTATTGTTAGGACTTTTTTTCTGTCTTCAATATCTGTTATATGTCAGTATAAATGCTCAAATATATTTCACGTCTTTTTTTGCAATTGTACGGGGTCATTTCAAACAATCTCTGGCTGTTTTCACTTAGCATCATTGGGGCCGTTTTGCACTGGGGCCGTTTTAGCCAAGCAAAATTGGGGCCATTTTAGCCTGATTCCCCCCCACACACACACACACACACACACACGTACGTACTTATAACATTACTCATACATCATTACACTGTAGCACTGCACAAGATAAATTCCAGGACATCTCTGGAACGGTTGTTATATCTGTACGTTGACGGATATGATCTTGATGACGCCTGACAACTCAGAGTGAGTGCGTGAGTTTAGTTTTACGCCGCACACAGCAATCTTCCAGCTATATGGCGGCTATCTGTAAATAATCGAGTCTGGACAGGACATCATGAGCATCGATCTGCGCAATTGGGAACCGATGACATGTGTCAACCAAGCCAGCGAGCCTGATCCCGTTACTCGCCTCTTACGACAAGCATGGGTTACTGAAGGGTCATTCTAACCCGGACCTTCACGGGTCCTGACAACTCTGCCATCAGATAGTTCTACTGTACAGGAAACTGGACCGCTTTTCACCTTTACCGTTGCAGGGATCCAATTTGGTCCGGATGAAAAGTTCTTCACATAGACTGAGTTTGTAATGGTAAAGTCTCTGTCTCGTGTATGTTGATCATGATATTCTTTCTGTTTCGTCTGTTTAGATTTCATCCTCTGAGACAAGTTAGGATGAACTAAATCTAGATAAGTTTTCAATCGTCGCCCCATGAGTAACTCTGCTGGACTTGTACCGGTTGAAGATTGCGGTGTTGGTCGATATCGAAATAGGAATCTTGACAGTCTCGTTTCAATTGATCCTCCTGTGTTCTTCTTTATAGTTTCTGTGATTCACACCATTTGTTATCATTAACAACTCAAACTCTTCACTGGTGAATACTGAACCATTGTCACTTACTAGAATTCCTGGTGGTCCATGAACAGCAAATATTCTTCACAATTTCTCTATCGTTGAAGTTGACGTTGCCTCTGAAACTGTTTTAACTTCAATCCACTTGCTGTAAGCATCTATGACAATTAAGAACATCTCGCCTAGAAACGGACCAGCATAATCCACATGTATCCAAGTCCATGGTAACTCAGGCCATAACCAAGGATGTAAGTAAGCCTTGGGTGGTGCAGGCTGCATTATTTGACAAACTGTACATTTCTTCACAAAACCCTCTTGTTCTGCATCCATTCCTGGCCACCAGATGTAACCACGAGCTAGGCTCTTCATGAGCACAATACCATATGGGTCTGATCATTAGTCATCATAGTTCTTCCCATTCTTACTCTATTTCCTCATAGTATACATCCATCGTGCGAAGTAAGTTCCTTTTTCCTGATGAAGAACGGTTTCAGGGTTTTTGCTACGTTGTAATTTGGCCATCCACATTGAATATAACCAACCACTTTTGACAACACAGGGTCAGTACGGGTCCACGCTCTAATATGTTTAACTGTAACGACAGTCGAATTCACTAAATCCACGAGCATGACAGTATACGCTGGTATAGGTGTTTTCTCAACCCCTGGGCATTCACTCAATGAAAGTCTGCTGAGAGAATCAGCATTACTGTTAATGATTCCAGCCTTGAATACCAGTGTATATTCATACGCTGCTAACGTCAACGCCCACCTCTGTATGCGTGATGATGGTAATAATGGAACTGCCTTGGTCTCTCCAAAAAGTCCTAACAATGGTTTCAAATGTGAGGGTAACTCTGAAGAATCTACTATGGGGCTACTAGTTTCATCACATGTGACTACCTGTTCCACTGTGCTTAACGTGCCCACTACAGAGCTACTTTCCATCTTAGTCTTCTTATTTCCCTGGACTAAACTTCTAGCTACAAAGAGACCTTTGCTACGCCAATATTTATTTGGCTCAATGATACCATTCTGTGAAGAGATAGGGTTGTCTACCTTGCATTCAACTAGCATTTCTGAATTCCCAGGTACAGTCACTGTATCAAGCACTCTTATTCTTGAGCAACTGTATGTTTTCTGCTTGGTAAGTGATAGTTCACCCTGTGAGGTACCTAGAACTGTCCTCTTTACATACACACTACCCCATCATACTGCTCCAGGAAATTCATTCCAACAATACTGCTAAGTGATCCAAGATCTGCTACTGCAAAGCTTTGCTCAAATTCCACACAATCAATCACAAACTTCAACCTCACAGAACCATGTACCACCATGGGGGTATCATTTGCTGTATGCAAATCCTTGTTGACTACCTCCAAAGGTGTTCCTTCCAAACCAAGCATACAGAAATCATAATGTGACATAATGGAAACTGGGGACCCTGTATCAACAAGAACTCTAAAACTTCCTCCTTCAACGTTAGCATGCGCATAGAGACACTTTGCAGGTGTTAAAGTGCGCAAAACTATTTTCTCCCCGGAAGCAGATTGCTCATTCTGTGTCAACAGGGTATCATTCTCCATGCTATCTCTATCTGTCGGAATTGGCCTATCTAACTGAGCTGAAATAGCGGCCTCAATCTCAGCATCTTTTAGTTTCCCGACCTATTTCCAGACTTATCAGCACTTGTTGGTAATCCTAACTTCTCAAGATATGGACAAGTATTTCTCAGATGACCTTTGTCATGACAAACATAACAACGAGGAGGTTCCCTTCTCTGACTTTCCTTTTTGAAAAGATCCAACTTTTTGTCGATCAACTTTCCTGTAGCCTCTAGAGTTAAGCGTTCCTTGACGTTACTCTGAGTTTCAATCCTAGCTTCAGATGTGTGTCCAACAACCCCTACTCTATCATAGTTCTCTGGTTTTCTTGCCCGACTACCTTCTATGGCTTCATATTCAACAGCATAAGACATTGCTTCATCAAGCGTGATAGGATGTGAGAAGGGCACATGTTTTCTCACATTGAATCAAGTCAAGCCATTCAAAAACTGGTCAATCAGATGTGGTTCTAAGGATGTGTAAGAAGCCTCAGGATAAGCAAGCAAACCTAAACGTCGGAGCTTGTACCAAAATTCAGTTATGGACTCATCCTTTCCTTGTTCTCTGTTTCTAAATTCTGATCTGAAGGCTAAACTTCTACCTCTAGGATTAAACCTTTGACCTAAAACTCTGACCTAAACATGGCTCTGATTTCAGAGCCTATGTCCAAAACGAATAGATATCTTAATTTCCTATGTAACCCCAAACCCTATATACTTGGTCTGGATTACCAGGACTCAAGCAACTGAAATGAATGTCCTCACCCTGGTGAACCAGTGGACTAAAGACAAGGAGTGCTGTGAAGCTACTCCCTTTATAGGGCTAGAGGCAGGCAGTGCATGTTCTGCACATGCCAGGCACAACCTGCCGGGTGTGTTGTGGCTATGCATATCAGCATAGCCGAGAACACACTAATAACCCATGTTATATTAACCCAACCCCAAATAGAACTCAAACTTTACCCCAAACATCCTAAACTACCACACTTGTAACACAAAGTGCACAATTCTGTGAAAAAACTGCACTTATCCCCTGGGCTAATACGAGGTAAGCAGGGACAGAATCTCGAACCCATGAACAGGTTCTCTGTTTGGAGGAGCTTTGTAAACGCAATGCTTGGAAATGGATACCACGTAAATAGTGACGTGTGACAAGAAACATCGTAATCTGAAACAGACCTACAAGAGAATATGTGACAGAAAAAGAAGTCTGGAAATGGTAGAGCTCACTGGGGCATATTACAGTCGTATGCAGGCCAATATGGCCGGAGATCCTGCTGTGGTACCAGTGTCCGCCACTAGCTGTCTGAAGGATCCACAGTCCGCCATGGTGTTTTGCCAGCAATATGTCCCATTAACACCCAAAACAATATATTTGGAATAAGGGACAGTTCATCATTTATGGCTTGGGGGTAAGGGAGATAGTTGATTATAAGAGATGGAGTCACCCATTTTGGTCTGGGGAGGTGGGGAAGTCGTCATTGATCTTGTACATGACATGCAGGGGGTCACTTACTTTCTACATATTGTTTTGGGGGTCGGCGGTGTCGTTCACATTGTACATGCTTCTCCATAAAAATCATCCATCATCATCACCCACCCACCCCCAGCCATAAATTATGAACGGTCCCTTATATATTCTGTTTAACTTGAGCAAAGCTATATGAAACAAATCATTTCACTAAATGATTTAAGATTTGAGCGAACCTCATATACCATGAGGCTATACACTGATGGATGGTTATTGAAGGACACAGTTCACACCTCGTTATATCGAGAACGAATGATGCCACAATGTAGAGTGCTTGAGGTATGGGAACACTTCACATATGTAAATTGGGGAGTAATGCAATTTACCGGGCGCACATTTTCATATCCATGTGACGACTACACGTATTTCAAATTAGAATACAATGAGTAATGCATTGTGGGAATGTGAATATTGCGAACGTTGCCGTGTCGCTGTTTAATTGTGAGTCGAACTTTATTATACATCGAAAAATGTAAACGTAATGTTTCCACAGTGACGTTTGCCGAGTGAAGCAACTGCAAACCAAGAAACGTGTGCCACAGACACACATCGTGACGTCGGTAACTAAGGGTACTTTACGATTACGAGGGGGCAGACTCAAATCGCGCAGTGACGCCAATACATTGTGACGTAATGCAAAAAGTGTACATTATCGTCTGATACAGTACTGTCAGCGCCTTTCATCATTCATCGAAACAGCTTAGAATCAAAGTTTGAGGCACACTCTTGAGTGCTCTCTTTATCATGATTTCAAAGAGCTCTTGCTCAGAAGCAATGTTACGGCAGCAGTTTTACTTTTTGTGTTTCACATCGCCCGACCGAACCTAAAACGTACCGCCT